AAAATCAAGAACAGGAAAACCTAACTCTGTTGTGGTTATTGTTTATCGCAACATACAACGATTTTTCAAAATTAGAAAACAATGCCAGTGTCGTGGAGCACACCATTGATTCCGGCGCTCAGGAGGCTGAGGCAGGAGGATCACTGTGAGTTTGATGTCAACCTGGGCTACACAGTGAGTTCAAGGTCAATCTGAGCTACTAAGGTAGCAAGCCCGGCTCAAAAAAGGAAAAAAAAAAAAAAAAAAAAAAAAAAAAAAAAGAAAGAAAGAAAGAAAGAAAAGAAAAGAAAAGCAAGCAAACAAGCAAGCCAGAACAATGGCTTAAGAGTGTTGGAAGCACCAGATGTGTGGTGGCGCATACCTATAAACCCCGTACTCAGGAGGTTGAGGCAGGAGGATCGCTGTGAGTTTGAGACCAGCCTGGATTACATAGTGAGTTCCAGGTCAGTCTGAACCATATAGTGAGACCCTGTCTCAAAAAACAAAACAAAACACACAAACAAAACAACCTCCCAACCCCCCCCAAAAACAAAACAAAACAAAGGAGTGTTGGAAGCAAGTTGGGAGAATTTTGAGGGAGCTCAATAGCTACGTTTTTTACTGTAATAAATAGTAAACACCCACCATATATTTTGACCACCCTTGTAAAAGAGGTGTTACAATGCTAATGTAATAAAAAGTGTTTGTTTTGTTCTTTGAGACAGTCTCGCTATATAGTTCAGACTGGACTTGAGCTCACTCTGTAGCCCAGGCTGGCCTTGAACTTGCCGAGATTCTCTTGTCTCATCCAAGTGCTGGGATTACAGACATGTGCTATCACACCTGGCAAAAGTGAAGATTTTTTGCAGAAATGAGCAAAACAGATTTTTTTTGTACCAGGAATTGAATTCAGGACCTTGCGCTTACAAAGCAGGCAGTGAAACCACTGAGCTAGATCCCCGGTCCGAGATGAACAAAACAGATCAAAATCTCAAAACGTAAAACTTCTTAATAATACAGAAGCTGTAAACAAATATAACCAAAGCAGGCTTGAAGAAAATATTTGCACATAACCAAGCAATAGAAGGGATGATTTTAGAATACAAATGGCCAAAAACACCCAAAAAGTACCACAAAATCACAATGCGAGGAAAATGCAAATCCCCCACATATACACCTGTGTATGTAGATGCTTACACACGTGCATGCACCTGTGTGTGGGACCCCCGGACTCGTTGGCTCACATACACTAAAGGCAGCGTGGCCACCTCTGATCAACCGTGTCGGTGGAGCACAGAAGTGCACAGCCTCCCCGGCCACTCAGGAGAAAGCTGTGTGTGAGACCCTTTTTCCTAACCCTTCACTGCGTCTATCATGGAGCAGTGCTAGGACGGGGTAGGTGACGTTAGAGATTTTCATCTCAGTGTCTGCCATAAGAAAAATTGGAAACAACCTTTCTCAAGGGCAAAGGGGTAGATATGAAAAAAGCAGTCAGGTGGGCCAGGGATGTAGCCTCGCAAACAAAAGGTTCCAAGCTCGATCCCTGGTACTGAAAAACACAACAAAAAAATCCAGCAGACCAGCAGAAGGCCAACACCTAGGTACTGTCCTGTTTCAGTACAAGAATGCAAAGCACACAGCAGGGTCAGGGTAGGAGCTGAGTGTGCGGGAGGCCCAGGTTCCATCCCCAGCACCACAGGAAACAAGGAAAAGGCAAAGCAGAGCTGTCCATAGTCACTGCTCTGGTTATCCATGGCAGACTCACCAAACCCAGCCCCACACACCGATGTCTCATTTGCTGTGAATCCGCGGCCTGGGAAGGGCTGGGTGCAGTGCCTTCAAGGCCTTGCCCAGCGTGCCTGAGACCCCAGTTCAACCCACATCATCACAAAACGACAGCACTGAGCACAGCAGTGGCATGTGAGGACAGCTACGGTGGCCTTGCCGGTACAGAGGACGAGGCTAAGCACCTTTACTGGAAGTTGGCTTCACTGGAAAAATTGCTACCTCAAGGAAGCCACTGATTGTTACAAGCCAAGATTTAACCTGACAGGAGTTTAGCGACTTCTTTTTATTTTTGGGTTTTTTGTTTTGTTTTGTTTTGAATTTTCAGGATCTCACTACGTAGATGAGACTGAACTGGAACTCACTATGTAGCCCGGGTTGGTCTTGAACTCACAGCGTCACAGTGATCCTGCCTCAGTCTCCGAGTCCTGGGATTACAGGTGTGCACCACTACGCCCAGCTCAGCAACCTTTTAAATTGGACTTTTATTTTTATTTATTCATTTAGTGTTGTTTTGTTTTGTTTTTTGAGACAGGGTCTCACTATGTAGTTGAGATTGACCTGGAACTCACTATGTAGCCCAGGCTGATCTGGAACTCACAGCAATCCTCCTACCTCAGCCTTCCGAGTGCTGGGATTATAGGCATGTGCCACCACACCTGGTTCTCATTTAGGCTTTTTGAAACAGGGTCTCACTACGTAACCCAGGCTGGCCTTGAATTCATAGTGATCCTCCTGTCTCAGCCTCCTGAGTGCTGGGATCACAGGTGTGCGCCACACAAATCAAAAATGACCAATCCCATTTTTCTGAACAAAATGAGGTGCTAACAAGTATTTGGGGAGGGAAGTGACCTACTGCGTTCCTTCACTCAGCTGTTTGCCAGTATTCTGGAGGGAATGGGGGACAGCTCACCAGTGTGCTTGGTTTGGGAGTTAAAATCTGAATAATTAAGTAAATATTCTGAAGCAGAGCCCCTGACAGGAAACCTCAGGAAGCTGTGACTTTGTACTGGGCAGCAAAGGGAGCATGTACCTCACTGTCCCCTTCCAGCCTCAAGGAGAATTCAGCAGGCTTTAAGAGAGGTTGACAGGTTCTGCCTCACCAACAACAGGCCCTGGCTAGCAATGGGTCCTGATGAGAAACCCAGACGTCGACTCTGGAGCAGCTCATGACCAACTGGACTCCAGAATTACTCAGGGATGGGCCGAGAACTCAAAGGGTCACAAGGTGGGTGTGGTGTTGTAGGTTTATAATCCCAGCACCGGGAGGCTGTGGCAGGAGGTTAAGTTCAAGTCCAAACTGGGCAACATAGAACACGTCTCAATATAAAATAAAAAACTTTAAAGACGGTTAGGATGTAACTCAGTGTGACAGTCCTGACTTGAATGCCCAGCAGTAAAAAAGAAAAAAAGTAGGCGATGGGAGACATAGAAAACACCCATAAACCCTCTGTATGCGCTGGTCATGCCAGAGTCACACATTACTTTAGGGTGAACAAGATCAACATGGCTTTAACAGTACAGATGCTGGTGCTACAGTGCACACTCATAACCTTGGCCCATAGGAGGCTGAGGCAGGAGGATTGGGACTTTCAGACAAGCCCAGGCAACTTAGTGAGCTCAAGGCCAACCAGGGCTATACAGGGAGACCCTGACCCTAAATAAGCAAATAAATAAATAGGCAGTGCAGACAGTTTCAGCACACCCCACTCAGGACTCCGTCGGGTCGCTGGGGGCAGCCCCCTCCCACCAAGTGTGCTGTCCACTGCATGGCGCCCCATGCTCACTGGGCACTCACCCGATCGGCGGGGCCTGGGCCTGTCCCTGGCGGCTGTTGTTCAGGTGACTTAACTGCCACCCAGCAAGACCTGCTGCCGGGCAGACTCACGGATGCCCAGTCAGGCCCCATCCTCCAAGCGAACACATGTGGGAAGGCAGGCTCCACACCCATTCCAGGCCTCGGCACTGCCGGCTGAATGTGGAGACCCACTCTGGGCAGCGCAGGGGAACCCTACCTGTTAGTTTTCACCATCAGGGCCAATCAGCGTGAGAAACCAGCAGATTTCACACGAGCAGAGCCTTTGTTCTGTCATCGCTGGACTCTTCTCACCCATTCTAATTCTCTAACGTCTGTGTGCTTTGCTCATTACCTGTCTGGGTAAGCCTCATTGAATTGGCACACTCAAGAGTCTCACCAGGCATGGAGCTTTGGAGCCAACACCTAAATATACATGGCTATGGATGTGCATACCAGTGTGCAGGGAGTCGCAGTTATGGGCAGCCAACGTGGCGCACACCTGTAATCCCCGCACTCTTCAAGGTTGAGGCAGGAGGGTCGGAAGTTCGAAGCCAGTCTTAGCAACTCAGTGACATCGAGACCTGTCTAGAAATAAGAAAGGACAGCGCAAGGTCCAGAGTTCAATCCCTGGTACAAAAAAAAAGTATATGAAGGGTTAAGGATATAGCTCAGTGAGAAGGCCCCGGGTTGAACTCCCTGTACCACGCATGCACAGCAAGTCAGGTGAAACTCCAATGCTGCCCGGGGACAAGTCACACTCACCCACTAAGTAGCCTTCTCTAATGGAAGCTGACAGGAAACGGGTTCTATCCCATGCGAGTCAAGTTCTCAGCAAATGTTTAACAAACTCATACATCTGCAGAATAATGGCTTTGTGCACAGTAAATGCACAGCCAGCTGCCAGCGCGACCCACCAGGCACCACTCGGGTCTCCGTGGCCTGGACAGCCCTGGGGGGACATAGAGGTCACTGCCCCTTATGGAGCTGGTCAGGACTGCAGGTCTCCCAGGGATGAAAATCCTGCACCCTGCGGGGTCTGAGCAGTGAGGGGTGGGCGGTACAGCGAGTCTGGGACTCAACCTGGGCTCTGCTAACACCTGTGAGTCACGAAAGGAGCCCATGGCCACACACAAACGGGCTGGGCCGGCCTGCTGGCTGAGCAATTGTTTCCGACCCCTGCTCTAAATTCTTTCACACAGGCAGCTGCTGGCTATTAGGTGACTTCGGCTCCATTAACAAGCGGCAGGAGTGATAGTTTGCTTAAGGCTCCTAAGTGCTGGCACATAAATGTTTGAGACAAAGCGTCAGAGGTGACCTGTATTGAAATTAAATATACTAAGGTACAAATTTCCAGCAATATATTGTATATGTTAAATGTACCAATAAAATTAATTTTTAAAAAAGAAAGAAAAAAGTAAAACTAAATGTACTACTGGAGCAACGACCGGCCAAGCTTCTTTTATTTCTGGTCTTCAGTCTGCACAGCTCTCACACACACAGCAGCAGCAGCACACTGGCTGCACTCGTGACTGTCACAAGCAAGGCAGGGACTCGGAAGATACTGTTACACACCCCATGTGTAGCATGGCAAAGGCAGAGGCGGCCGCTGTGATACCGGCAGGGGACGCAGGGTCACAATTTCGAGACTTAGAGCACTGCGGCTTGACTTGATGAAGACACAGCGGTACTTAGGACAGGCCTTCTGGGGACCAGGCCAACATATAAAATTCCTGTCATGTACAACTGAACCATTTACCTTCTGCAAAAACAACCTTTCAACTTGAAACCTCTGTCACGCAATTGTTGCACGGATGTACACGATGGCAGCAAGACACACATTGCCACAGGCTACAGTTTCAGCAGCCTGACCCGCCTGGCGCTGACGTTTTTATTAGGAGGAGACAGTGAAGTGAAATCTTTCCTCACATCCCGCCCCCAAGAACCAGTCTGAGACTCACTGATGTACTGAATTCAAACCTATATTTGCAGTTTCTAAAACACTGGCCCACAGACCGCCGTCCGGACATCAGAGCGCCAGGGAGCGCGAGGCCGCCCCTCGGCCCGGCGGGCGGAATAAATACGCGGTCCGTCTGTCTGTCCGTCGGCGAGCGAGCGCCCGCAGACTACCTGTTGTAAGCCCGCTCTCTTTTGGACTTCTCCAGGGCTTTGTCCATCGTCTTCTCGTTCTCCCCCCGGCACTTGGGACAGTACCACTTGCCCTTGGGTTTATGGTTGAGGCCAACGCAGGAGAAGTGGAACCACTCGATGGGGCACTCGTCGTTGTCGCAGCCGATCATCTCCCCGTAGGAGACCTGGTTGCACAGACAGTACGTCGGCTCGTTGGGGTCGATGGGGAGGTCCGCGGGGGACGCCTCCCGCTCCGCTTTGGCCTTGGAGCGTTTCTTCTTCTTGGAGGTCTTCGCTTTCTTCTCCTTGGGCGTCCCTGAGGTGATGTCATCGTGGTCGTGATTATTTGCAGCATTCTCCCGGTTCTCATTGTTCCGCTGCCGCCGGGACCGCTTGTTGTTCGGCTTTTCTGCCGAGTTGATTGTCTCGTTCTTCGACTTATCTTGGCCGGCCTTGCCGATGCCGCCGGTGGTGTCGCTGATCTCCTGGTGGGCCTCAAAGAGCTCCACATGGCTGTCCACCTGCCTGGCCCGGTTCTCTACCAGCTCCACCATCTGACTCACGATCTGGATCTTTTCGTCCCCCAGCTCCTGGCTCCGGATCAGGGCTCGCTGGATGCAGTGCAGGAGCCGCCTCTTCTGGGCGCCATCCGTCTCACGCTTGAACTTCTCATAGTACTCATCCAGCTCCTTCAGGATCTCTGCGAACAGAAACAGTGTGCATTACACAGCGCGCCAGGAGACCGGCGAGACTGCGTGGCCTCCCGGCTGAGAAAGGCTGACTGCAAAGCAAGGGACTGCGGTGCATTCCCGCGCAAATATCCTGCCACCTGCACCCCTTAAGGACTCCATCAGCAGCAGGAACCCTCTACGTGGAGGACGCATTGGGACTCCCATCAGCCCCCACAGCTAACAAAGCCTGGATTAAGAGGCTGCAATCCGGACTGAGGGACAGCGGCCCTCAGCTTGCCAGTATGTCGTGTCATGTCTGCACCCTACTCCTCAATACCACTGAAGACAAGGATGGTTCAGCCGTCATAAACCTGAGCCGCATTTAATAAAACTGACACACAGCTTAGTTTTGCCTTAAAACGAAAGTGGCAAATCCAACTTTTGCATCTTCTACTTACAATGTCATTTTTAGAGTTATTAAAGTCAACAGATTAAAAACATCAAAACCAAAAAGCTTTTGCCATTAAATTTAAACTTCCTTGGCTACAATACAGTGTAGTGATTTAAAAATACAATGTGGCAAGTGTCAATCTGATAACTTCTCAGGGAAAAAAGTTGTTAACCTAATTAAGACATAGTAACTAAATACTCTTGACAAAAGCCTATTTAGATACAAAAATCCCCAAAGTTATTTATCTCAAACAGTAAACAGCGCTAGATTTTTTTCCCTAAAAACTGTTTTTGCAGTCAAGGGACTCTCCAATGAGGAGGTCTGGGGAGGAGAGAGCTGGAGCTGTCTAGGACGCTGCCCATCCTTTGCAGAATTTCCAAACAGGAGACTCAACCCCGACTTGAGAATAACTAGGAGCTAAGGCCACGCGCACAGTAAAGCTTATGTTCCAGCTCTGGAGGTATTACTTCTACAGGATCCGTGCAGCCTGGCACCAGAAAAGAGACCTTAACTCACGCTGTAAATCCAAGCACCCAACTCGCTTATGGGTGATGCTAGAATGTGAGATTGAGCCACTTGTTATTTCTTTTGGTACCAGAGGGCGAAGTCAGGACTTTGCGCTTACCAGGCTACATCCCTGGCCCAAGCCATTTATTTTTAAATGCACTGAAAGTTGCAGAGCTGTATCTGACTTAGGCAGTAATCGGATTCCATAGATGATAGGCTCTAGCATATCGCTAACTCAAAACACACTGCTGCTTCCGTACCTCAAGGGAGCTCACGTCCAAGGGCAGTCTCACCCACGGGGGATCCTCACAGGTGACTCGGACCTACACGAGGGTACAGAGTTCTAAGTAATCTGTCCTAGCAGCCACCGAGAACAGGCGAGGCCGGGACCCAGCCGCCGCGCACCTATGACCGCGGGAGATCGGGCGCTCCAAGACGGAAGCCCAGCGCTAGGAGAGACTACGCAGACCTGAGCACCACGCGCCACGGAGCCACTTCGAGCTTTGCAGGCCGCC